CCACAGGGAATGGTCACCGGATCCTTCAGGAGATCCAAACAGATGGAGCAGGAGATAGAATCTGGGTCCAGTTGAATGTTTTGCTGCGCCATTTCACCTCTCAATCAAGACAACACTTCCTTATGTCTGCTCAAGGTTTGAGCTTTGATATCAAAGACAAGTGCTATAAAGACTTTATTACTTGTTGGTTACACCCATTTTCAGTCTTGTACATCTGACTGGAAGGGAACAAGGAAATTCTTGAGAGATTCCAGTAAACCGAACGGTCTGAACCCTATAAATTAAAAAGTGGTTTCAATCCAAGCCAGGATAGTCATTTTTTAATATTTGGAATATACTCTACATCAATGGTTATTAATCTTGGTCTTTGAGGACACTGTCCTGCATGTTTTAGATGTTTTTCTTCTTCAGCACACCTGATTTGAATAATTGACATTAGTAGGCATCTGCAGAACTTGAAGACCTGCTGAAGAATGGGGAAACAAAACATGCAGGATAGTGGCCTTCAAAGACGAGGACTAGAGAACAATGCTCTAGATATTGTGTATCCATACTTTCTTCTGAGTCAAGTTTTATGGGCTTCTCACCAAGGAATAAGTAAGTGCTATGTGTTGTTGATGTATGTTCCCATACAATGATGAAATTTGTTCTCTGCATTTAACCCATCACACCTGAGATACACCCAGATGGAACAGTAGGCAGCTATGTAAACACCTGGGGAACAATTAGGGATTGGGTGTCTTGCTAAAGGACACCACGACATGTGGGCATGGCGGGAAGTCGAACTGCGACTTTCTGGTTCCAAGTCAGAGCTGCCCTACCTCTACACCATCTCTGCCCCATAGGTCCGGGCATTACCAATCTGAAGACATGGCTAGTGGTAGTAGCAATGTGGACAATCAGGTATTCAACTACCACTGTCTCTTCTTTTAACTGTCATCCTACCCACAATGCACTGGTCCCTTGGGATGTTTTCTGCCCACATGAGCTTGTGCTGTAGCTCTTTTGGTCTGTACCCATTCCGACCCTATAGGCGAACGTCTACCTAAAGCTACCAGGTATTAGTGATACATATTATCGTCATGGTATCGGTATCGGCCAATATTACCATTAAAGTTCAATATCGGACATCGGCCATTCCATTAAAATAACTCACCGATATAAAAGACGCAGTTTTTGTATGACAACCTATTGACAAAGATGCCTGCAGCGACAGCACAACGTGATGACGTCATGCGCGCCTACCCGATCTCACGGCGGAGAGGAGAATTCAAAATGTCGGCGGTGTGGAAGGTTTTTTCCCGTTGGTGAGGATGTCGGATTCCGAAGATTTTTGTTCTACGTTGAGCCTCGCTACATCGTCTCCAGTCTCCCCCACCCTCATTCGCCCAACTCTGGGCCCATGAGCAAGGCCCTTAACCCCCACCATGTGCTCCCTAAACAGGTCTCTCTTGAAAATGAGTTCTCGTGGCTCAATGAGACTAACCTGGACAAATAAAGGCTAAATGAAAAGTGGCACACTAAGCAGCAGAACGTGGCTGTTGGAGAAGTTGTTTGGCTTGCAGACCAGAACGCTTTGAGAGGCTTGTTCAACCTTTCCAGAGTAATCAGCGTTAGCAATGACAAGAAGGGCATGGTAAGAAATGTACACGTGAGAACCACTCTTAGCCAACCCGTCTCGCGGAGGATAGCACAGAACAAAACACTTCCTAACAAACCCTCCACTACTATTGTCTACAGAGATGTCAGGTGCTTGATTGTGCTGCTGCCAGTGGAGGAACCGGAGAAAACACAAGTGGCTTCACCTTCACACAAGTACTGCATCGACTGACCTCCCTGACTTTGGAAAACCAGGATCTCAAGTGAGAGGTGTTGCATCATGGCAGATTTTACACCGTGTTCCTGTCGAAGCAAAAACAAAGATGGTGCAGAAACGCAGGACTGACTGAACTATGCACCAGGTCCTGCTACTTTAGAATGATCAATCAGATCGATGAAGGAAATAAAAATGAGTGGATCGCCATCAGTGTGGAAAAACCCAAGACACTGGGAAAACAGAACTTGGCTCATGGTTCAGCGAACTGAAGATGACAAGGGAATGGCAACGTCATCTGGGTCCTGACGGCACTAAATTTGTTAGACGGCATTGATTTGAGATTTAATTGTTTAGAAATAACAAATTTGTGTTTAATCAAGAAAGTAATTGATGTTTTCGATTAATTTTGATGTTAATTGTGACAGAACTTCATTTGCAAATGTAGTCAGCAGTTGCAAACAATTCAAGATGTCTGCAAAAGAGAACTTGTGCCAAACAAAATGTGGTATTAAACTTGTGGAGATATTTTTCCAGACTATTTTAAAAATATTTTATTTATTTAAAAGTTTTCAACCTGCTGTTGCTACTAGCTCCTGGCGCTACTATTGATGCTCCATCAGGAAATCTGCTTCTGATGTGATGAGTCGCATCAAGAACATCTGAGCAGTGTCGAGTTGTTAATCTGCTTTTCAAGAAAAGAACCAGGCTATTTATGACGTTTAGGCAGGAACTGATTCTTGAATAAAGACCATGACAGTAAGCATCCGTCCGTGTTCTGGACTCTGGGAGCTCCACTCTTTCACAAGATACACCTGTGAGACTCACAGCACCAACGCAACTCTCAGCAGCCGGGATGGACATAAGCATCGCAACAATTATATGTGAAGGGGGCGTGTCCCCCTCACATTTAAAAACTATGCTATGCCACTAGCTTAGCATTACGTTAGTGCCAGCAGTTGTTGAATGGTGTGTGTGTGTGTGTGGTGGGGTGTAGGATGCGTGAGAGAAGTGGAGCGTGCTGTATTCACACAAGGAGAGCTGTTGGTCAGGCTACTTCTTGTTGCTCTCTAAAATAATTATTGAATCAAAATTTTTTTTATGTAGGTAAACGTAGATGTTTAACAACGTGTTAAAATACACCAGGATGAAGGAAATGGCATCTACTTTATTCAAATTTTTCTGGGGTTGGACCCCCAGACCCCCCGAACAGTGTGTGCCCCCCACATTACAAAAGCTTCAGACACCAATGGGGATGGAGAAAGTGTGTGGTTTAAAAAAAAACACCAACAGGAACTAGTAATAAATGTAAAACTATTATGAATCTTTTACAACTTTTCTTGAAATTAGAGCTCCATTATCATTCTCAACATTGTAAAACATGGAACCAAATGAAAAGGTTGAACAGAAACTTGATAAAACACGAAACAATAAGCACAAAACAAGCTTAGAGAATAAATAATGCATTATAGATTTTACAGCAAATGATTACCCTAAACTGCTACAGGAGCTCATAAATGTGATATTAGTAGTTTGTAATCAAATCAAACTATTTATAATCTGCATTTCATACGTAAAGTGACACAATGTGTTTATTAAAAACATTAAAAAACAATAAATCTCAAAGTTTGGATTTATATACACACAATTGTGAAGACTAAGAATCATAAAAGTGATTAAACAAAGTGCACACAATAAAAATGAATCATACTTTTGTAAAGAAGGTTTTACAGCGAGTCTTTCTTTTCAAGTCTAAAAGTTATTTCACTGGATTTTATAAATCAATAATGTCAAAGCTTCACTGTAATTTTTGTCACAAATCTTACAAATAAATTTAGGGATTTCTTCGGTCTTTCAATACTTTCAATATTGTTTGTACTTTATTAACTGCAGCATTATTAATAACTGGAGACACAGCTCTCATTATAAAATCTCACCTGTTGATCTGTTGAAATTCTTAAATAAGACCCATTTAAAATTCATATTTGTTTTATGCATTCAGCGTTTAAACTATTTTTATTTTCACACAAAAACAACAAAGTATGTGTAGTAGATTTCTACACTGACAATCATGAAACCATTTGTCAGCCTCGACGGCTGTTCAGAGATTCAGCGCTCTACAATAAATCCTGACTTTGCTGTCAATCAGAATCGAGGTTGTAAAAGTATTTAATGATTAAAGTATCAATGTAGTAAAAATGTACTACAGGGTTTATCAACTAAACTGCTCAGGGGCCGGACATCCAGGAACTAGAGTCACGCTGTAAATAAACCAAGTGTTACAATGATCCGTTACCTTTGAAAATAGTTTGTTTTAATGCACTGAATCATAAATACAATAAACTAAAACCCAGAACCAAAAAATGATTTATTTTTTCATGAACTCATTGGAGGGCCGGACTCAAGTCACCCATGGGCCAGAAGTGGCCCGCGGACCCCCAGTTGAATAGCTGATCTACTACATGGGTTTTTGTTAAACTTCCCACTGATGTAAAGAACCAGACCTCCTCAAAGACCGGTCCTCCTTCAGTCGAACTATTTCAGTTTAACCAACTCAGCCGAGTCTCCAGTATAAGAATAAAGCTGAAGTCTGGCGTGGAGCGGCCGAGTGAACGTGGTCTGGACTCTGTGGAGGAGAGTCATGGTTCCAGAGACGCTGTAGAAGGACAGAACACCTGCCCTGTGGTCCAGGTACACCCCGATCCTGGAGGAACCAGGACCTGGGACTGGAGTACAGGTATTATTGTACCGAAATTCATAACCCTTTGTGTTGCAACGTAAGGCCCAGGAGTTGTGGTTCCTTCCAAAGGAACAATCTACTGAATCTCCTGCTCTGCTGATATTCTTGTACACGACTCCTACAAAGGCTCTCCCCCTCCACTCCACCTCCCAGTAACACCGTCCGCTCAGACTCTCTCTGCTCAGAACCTGAAGATAAAACGAGAACCTGTCTGGATGACCAGGAGAAGACAGCTGTTGTTTCATGACTGTTACTTTTCTCCTGCCCTCAGATAAGACCAGACGTCCGTCCGCGGTGTTTGGATCCAGAGTGATTTCTTTGAAATAATTTAAGAAGCCATCTCTGCTCTTTGGTTCTGGTTCGGGCAGTAGAACGTCCACTTCAGAGACTCTCAGTGAGATGCTTGTCCACGTGTCCCTCAGGACGTCCTGTAGGATGTCTCGGAGCTCCTCCACAGCTGCAGTGATGTTCTCAAAGTATCTCCGAGGATGAACCTTGATGCTGGATGAGTGTGGAGACTCACCCAGTGCTGACACCGACTGGT